TAAACTTGATTCCAATAGCGCCGAAGCTGCTATCGTCCGTTTTATTACGCAAGTTATGCACATTCCGCGAGAAGCAAATCCGCGAGGAGCAGACCGTGTTTCGTGCACGCCGTGAATACGTAGACCAATTCTTCACACCCCGTCATCTACTAGAATACCGCCACACACACAGACGACAAACCATTGTCGTGGTTTTAGACATCGGAGCGGCTTTCGACTCTATCGATCGCCTCGCACTATGGAACCGTTTGCGGAGATACGGAGTACCCGAGTAGTATGTCTCTCTTCTAAAAGCACTCTATCACCAGACCTCGGGGAAGGTTAGGGCCTATGGTGAATTTTCACCCTCATTCTCTGTCACCAGTGGAGTACGACAGTGTTGCCCTATCTCTCCGTTTCTCTTGAACTTTGTCATAGACGATGTCCTACGAAACGCGTCACATAACGCAGCGAACGCTGACGTCGAGCTTCTCCCTGGGGACAGAGTCGTAGACTTAGAGTACGCTGATGATATTGCCTTACGAGGTGGCAACGCACCAACGATTCAAGAGTCGTTGAACCGTTTGGCAATTAAGGTTATTCGTTATGGTATGTCATTTGCACCTTCAAATTGCAAAGTGTTGTTGCAAGACGGCAGGAACCCGTCTCTGCACTTTCATTGGATACTGACACTCTGGAAGTAGTCGAAAGCTTTGTCTACCTTAGAAGTTGCATAACAGCTGGCGGAAGTATGGGCGAGGAGATCTCTCAACGCGTGATCAAAGCTGGATTAGCGTTCGCTAATCTGCGGCATCTCTGGCTCCGGCGCGATATATCCCTTTCACTGAAAGGACGTGTGTATTGCGCAACGGTACACACCGTGTTGCTGTATGGCTGCGAGACCTGGCCTCTCCGAGCAGATCACGTCCACCAGCTATCAGTCTTCGACAACCGCTGTCTGCGCAACATCGCCCGCGTATGGTGGGAGCACCGCGTGAATAACGATGAAGTGAACCGACGGGTGCTGGGACCAGATAGTCTTCCTTTGGGCGAAATTATTTCACAGCATCGTCTTAGGTGGCTAGGGCACGTCCTACGAATGCCTGAGGATCATCTGCCATACCGTGCACTATTCGCAGACGTTGGTCCAGGCTGGAAGAAGCAACGAGGTGGGCAGTCTTTGACGTGGCGCAGAGGGTTAAAGAGATTGTGCTCGGA